TTCTAAATGGTTTACTTGGAGGCTGCTACCTTTTTTCAAAGTAGGTTTATGGACAAGCCCTCATATTGCAAGACATTCTTATTATTTTGAAGGAAGTTTGTAAATTTATTGATAAGTTCCTCAATTCTTGCCTTTGGAATGGTGGAAGAGTTCATGATTGAATAAAATAAAAATAAATTCTTTTATGTGCTATGACATTTCGTTAAACTATCTCATAGAAACTTTAGAAGAGCACACCACTCAGCCGCTAAACTCGTAACCAATTGATTCCATGAGCTGATTCTTTTCAAAGTTGTCAAATGCTTTATTCTTTCTTCTTATGTACAATCTGTGTTTGTTTATGAATCCAATTTGCTACTTAAGACAAAATCTTTCTCTTCCATTCACCTTCTATCTTTTCCCTAATCTTTTTTCTCTTTTACTGTGGGTATAGAATTCAAAACATGTTTTCACCTGAAAAAAGCCAAAACTAATGAATTGTTAAATGTAAGTGCTCTTAATGGGGTTTTTCACTTTTGATTCCATAAATAGTTTGACAGCCACTTCCAGGGTTCTTCCCATGGTTTCTACTTTCACTGAATATTGTACATTCTTGAGTCACTTGTTTCCTGTTACTAGGGTGCAAAATATATATATATATTGGTGCTTAGCAACATAACACACCATTTAGTTGGTGCGTCAGGTCACCGGTGTTTAGGAGATCATTTATATATATATTAGATGACAAAATAGTGGATAACAAAATAATTGTCTAACCACCTGAAAAGTTCAAGTTGAGAGTAAACAAATTCATTTATGTAAAATTTGTCTTCTACACGCCATCTTAGAATAGATTCAATTTACATCAAAAAGTCATAAATAATTTGTGATAAAACTCAAATTAGGACTTTTGCTTATTCTCACATGGAACCCCATCATCAAAAAAGTCAAGTTGTTAGGTGTTTTCTATGTTCACTACATCAGGATTAGTCTAGAAGTACCAAAGAATAACTCAATTTGTATCAAGTGGACAGTGGAAGTCTAGTGACATCTTCCACTTACAAGAGAACCAAAATAGCAAAATCATTCTCAATATGTTATTCCATTTAAATAACTTATTATTATAAAGCTAATATAGTCTTAAGTCTCTAAGAGCATTTGAATTAAACAATTTGAAGAAAATATACATCAGCAGCAGCTCCAACAGTTTTTCATCCACAAATTTTCTTTCATTTATTCTGATATATTCACCGCCACACATTCTTCAGATGATCAGGACAGCACTTTCCATTATTCTTCCCAATTTCTGTTTGTTTATTTTTTTTTAATTTCCTTTCAATTTTTGCACTATATATACCGTGAAATATGCTAAAAATTTCAACAGCAACATTATTAATCTTCAGTTAAGTCATCTCTTCATTCATTCCTTCTGCATCGAAAGACATGGCAGAGCGAATTCGTTTGGCAGTCGGAATTATGGGTAGGTGCACCCTTCTTCCTTTTCATCTCCACTATTGATTTTGTATATTTTTTGATAGCTTCATGTTAAAACAACTTTGCATGGCGTTTCTTGCAGGGAATGCAGCCTCTTTGTTGCTCTATGCTGCCCCAGTGTAACATAATATTCTTCAATATATTTTATTTTGTTTTTGATAATTCCATGCATGCATTGCCTATGTAGCATAATAATGAACATGATTTTAACTCTATTAGGTATTGTATTTTCCAATATTTCTTGCAGACTAACTTTTTCAAGGGTAATAAGAAGGAAAAGCACGGAAGAATTTTCGTGTGTGCCATACATCATTGCACTGTCGAATTGTTTCCTCTACACATGGTACGGCTTACCAATCGTGAGTTATCACTGGGAAAACTTTCCTGTCGTAACCATTAATGGGTTAGGGATTCTTTTTGAGCTTTCCTTCATAGCCATATACTTCTACTTTGCTTCGGCTAATGGAAAGGCAAGCTACTTCTCCATACAACAGATTTTCTTATTTGCATGTATCAACTAAAGCGGTAGAATGAATATAGCACTAATTTTTACATGTAAATTGTAATGAATGTGCAGAAGAAGGTTGCTATGATAACAATACCAGTATTCGTTTTGTTCTGCATCGCTGCAATTTTATCAGCTTTTGCGTTTCATGATCATCACCATCGCAAAGCATTTATAGGAAGTGCCGGGCTCGTTGCATCCATAGCAATGTACGGATCTCCTCTAGTGGTCATGGTAAGTAATTTTCCCGGTAAACATAATTTTTTTAATTGTATATATTGCTATATAACGTGATTATGCCATTTATTACAGAAACAAGTGATACAGACCAAGAGTGTGGAATTTATGCCATTTTACTTGTCATTTTTCTCATTACTTGCTAGTTCACTTTGGATGGCTTATGGACTACTCAGCCACGATCTTGTTCTTACGGTTAGTACAACATAAATTTATTCAAAATAGTTTTATTTTGATTTGAGATCAGACGGTGCGTACTGATTTTGATGTGTTCTTTTGTAGTCACCTAACCTGGTAGGTACCCCTCTAGGCATCCTCCAGCTTTTGTTGTACTGCAAATATAAGAAAACTGGAGTTATAGAAGAAAAACCTCAAAAATGGGAGTTGGAAAGCTGTTCAGACAAATCAAAGCAACAACTTGAAAAATTAGATGATGAGAAACTGAAACAACATTCCCAAAGCACACATGATACTGATACTAAGACGTGAACAATTTCTTTGAACGTCAAGGTTCGATATTTTAATTTCTTTATTTTTCATTTTATTATCGTACGTCCCAATGATATAATTCATTTTGTAGGTGTTTATTTGTGTGCACACGTGTGTACAACTAAATTCGCATGCATGTGTTGTAGAGAACATGAATTTTTGAGTGGATTCTAAACTTCGATTATGTTTTTTGATAGGTCAAATGCTACGTTACGATAACAAATAAATGTCATTGGGCTCTAAGTGGACAGATGTGGAAAGTTAGAGTTGCACGTCGACCATCAACACCAATGGGGAAAATAAAAATGTTAAATCTTAGTCTTTGAAGGGATTTTGTACCTTTTTGAGTATACAAAATATTATGTTAAGTGAGAAATCAAGAAAAGTATCATCTTTTTGCATTAAAAATAATAGTAAAGACACAAATATATCACTGGGGAAGTCTCACAAACAAAGTGCACTTCTTTGAAGATGCGTCGATCTAATTATTATTGATATCATCTCGCTTGATAGATTAAATAGTTACAGATATACATATAACTTAGAGGCTTAAAGCAAAATTATTTAAATAGTCATTTCGAGAGTTGGTAAAACCTATTACCCATCTAAAATTCTCTGTATTTTCCTTTAATATGAAAGAAATTAGTACATCAATGAGTTTTAATATTATGGTATGTTCCATGCAAAACAAATAATAATAAATTTATTTCCTACTTTTAATTATGTCAATATCAAGTCAAAAATCCTAACAATCTTCATGTTGATTTTCGATTGTCCAAGCCTTTTAATAGGAAATTTCCCATGGGTTTCGCTTATGGGGGTCAATGGGCCCAAACGCACAAAAATGGGGCTTTACAAGCCGATTGGCCCACAAGCTAATCAAGTTTCTAAAAAAATATTAAATTTACTGATTTTTCTTAGGACAATATGCTAAACATGTTATTTGCACGATAAATCACAAATATAAGGAGATGGAATTACAACAACTGAAAAAATGTAAATAATTATTCTGACAAATTTAGGCTTTTACTTGGCTAGCAGGGCACTCAAGGCCCGACTCGTGGGCTCTCCAAACTAGACAATCCATCTCCGACTTGTCAAGCCTAGGAACATGGGCTCAACTTTGTCCACTTGGCCAAAATTTGAAATAGACTCAAGCCCCGACTCATTTAATTATGAGATGACCCAACCCGAAACTTTTACTAGCCAGCTTGACGAGCTACCTATCCCAATCAACCCTTTTTCGCCACTCGAAACATGGTTGGCCACGATCACTTACTACCCCATGAACCATGTCTACCGTGTGAGAAAAATTTTGGTGGAATGGTCGCACCGCTCTACATGATACGATCGTTAGATAGGGAGTTATCATAATTCCCCACCTTATTGGATGGAGAAAAAAATCAAGTTCAAGGTGCCCCTAACCTCATTGATGAGGGTGGACCACCCAATAGGTTGGTGGCTTCCAATTTGACTACGTGATGCGACCGTCCTATCGAAATTTTTTTTCCTTATGTGTTAATCAAAACTTGACCCTCTCATGAAGTTGCAAGTTATTGTCCATGACAACCTAAGAAAGCCAAATCAAACGCCCTTGTTGAGAAAAAGACAAAAGGTATCTAAAACAGTAACGATCGAACGTTAAACAAAGTGAATTAGCCCCCATTTGAGTCCCATTATTTTTCATTACATTAAATTAAATTTTTCTCTCTTCTACTTTTAACCACACAATCTTCAATACAATAATATTAAACATAAATTAAAAACTTTTTAACCACTCATTTTTAAAAAAAAATACTATTCATCTCATTATAATTTACAAATAATGGGGCTGAAACGGCCGCTTAATTAACACCCTAAAGGGTGTTTGGTAGGAATTTTTATGTGAAAATGCATTTTTGAATAGTAAATTGATGGGAAATGTGTGGTTGAAAAATAAGAAATTTTTTTTGATTTACGTGTAATATTATTTTAATAAAAAATATGTGGTTGAAAAGAAGAGAAAGAAAAATACATTTTGATAAAAATGGATGCCAAACGGGCCCTAATTTCTCATTAGAACTACAAAGGCCACAAGTTGTGAGCGCCAATTTCAATTGAGATAAGGTTTTTCTCTGTCTACCCTCTTTCTCAACATCTACAACCCAATCTTGTTGAGAGGAGAAAATACAGTCAATTTTGTTTGTGAGTTGTGAGAGATTTAACTCTAACCCCTATAAGAATGAAGAAAATTCCCCTCTTTTTATAAGCTCTAATTTAATCGTCACTTTTTTTCCGAATTGAGAATTGTATTGTTATGACTGCTACACTTCAAGCTTCTCTTGTTCACAAGCCCTCAATTTCGCGATTCAATTATCTAGCTTTTTGTCTAAAACCCCGGGTTTCTAGTTTTGCTTCTCCGTTAATTCTACATAGACGTATAATTCATAACTTCAATTGCCTTCCTCCCAAGTCTCGATTTTTACGGCATCGTTTAGTAGTTTCTTGTGAATTAAATCCAATTCCGGAAAATGTAAATTCAACGCCGGACTTAATAAACAGTAATTTAAATCCGGATATTGAAAAGCAGGAAGTAAATGAGTTCAACAATGGAAATATTGTGGGGGAAAACGTGGAAATTGAGGCGGGTGAAGGAGTGGAGGGTGAGGTGCCAAAGGAAGGTCTGGAGGAAACCGAGTATGCGAAGAAGAGATTTCCAATGCTGCTGTTTATTATGGGAGTTTTTGAGAGGTTGAGAAGTGGGTTTGAGAGAATTTTGTATTCAGATTGGTTCAGTCGGTGGCCATTTTGGTGGCAGGAGAAGCTGTTGGATCATTTAATTGCTGAGGCCGATGCGAATCCTAAGGATGCTGCAAAGCAGAGCGCCCTTTTGGCGGAGCTCAATAAGCACAGGTCTTTGTAGCTCACTTCACCTTAATAATGGATTCTGTTATTGAGTTTTATGCAAAGATTCTGGCTTCGTTTTTTACTAAAAACATGAGGACAGTGAATAGCAGCATTTTGAATCCGTGTTCTTTTGCTTCTTATTTAAATTATTATCTTGCTGGTTGAGTGCTTTCGGGTTTAGTTAAAAGTGTATCATATGCTGTTGATGGAATTATCATTAACCATCGAATTATAGTGGGTGTTTCATGATATTCAAAATTTAGAAAAAATCTGAAAGTAGATAGACTTTGAGGATTTTTAACTGGGAAAACAGTTTTCATTTTTGTTCTTTTTTTTAAAATTTTTTTTATAATAAAAAAATTTGGCATGCAAGGATGAGCTGAAAGTACTGACTGCACATTGTAGTTATATTCAGAACATAGTAATTTTGGGTAGGATCATAGTAACCGTTGGACATATCTTAATACAATAGTAACGCATGTGATTTCAATCATGCTCGGAAGTAGGTGTTAGGATCAAAGATGTTGGTGGACTGTTTTAATCTCTGTGCACTTGTGTCAGAAGTTGAAGTGTTATTATTACTTAACCATATTGAATCCCTCATAAACTTCATAAAATTTTGCATTTAGCTGGAGACATGTTCTGATGGTGTTCTTTTTTCTTTTTTGCTCTGTCCAGTCCCAAGTCTGTCATACAGCGGTTTGAACAAAGAGCTTATGCTGTAGACAGCAGGGGAGTTGTAGAATATCTTCGAGCTCTGTTGGCCACTAACGCCATTGCTGAATATTTACCTGATGAACAATCAGGAAAACCTTCCAGTCTTCCTTCTCTGGTACTGGGCTGTGCATATTTCTTTTCAGTTTTCAATTTTGCAATGAAAGCGTATGTTATATCTATTAATTATATAGCGTCATTACTACATACACGATAATTTCACAATCCATCAATATAGTTTTTTCTAGAAGGACAATTTTATTGAGTTCAGTTAGAAAATGAAAAAAATTTAGATATCCTTTTTTTTTTCCCCTATCAATTTTCAGTCAATACCTGTCACTTGTTCTTGTTGTCATCCCGATAAATTTCGTTTAACACTTTGTGCAGTCTGCCATGCTTTATCATTTGATGCATGTACACTTTTTAACTTTTCATATTACCTGAATCAAATATTTGATGCGAGTGAAACTGGTTTCTTTGGCTACATCTGCCTCTTTTTCCACTTCCACAACAATGAATAATATCTTGGGCTATCTCATTCTACATATTGAGTGTATTTCACGTTCTTCTATTTGCTAACAATTTTATATTATATGTAGTTGCAAGAATTAAAGCAGCGTGCTTCAGGGAACATGGATGAGCCCTTTGTGAGCCCCGGTATATCTGAGAAGCAGCCGTTACATGTGGTGATGGTAAGGGCTGTAAGTGTCAGCAATTTTTGGTTTCTTCTGGCATATTTATATTCGGTGAACAGAAATTATCTTGTTGTGATTTTTTGCTCCATTGTTGTGTGTGTGGTATAAACATTTGACACTATCATTATCATTGGATTAGCAGAAAGTGACTATTTAATTGTGGTGCTTTTCTTGTTGGAACTTTACTTATTGCATCACCTGTTATCAAACCTTAGCATGTTGTGTTCTGGATTGCAGGTTGACCCCAAAATGTCAAATAGATCATCTCGGCTCGTACAAGAAGTCATCTCGACTATCTTGTTCACTGTTGCTGTTGGTTTCGTGTGGTATAACGTTTCGTACATATTATTTCAGTTCTGGTTGATGCATGCTATATATATTTTTCTTTCTATGGAATTATGTTTGATGATGTTGCATAAAGACGTTGAATTTTCCTGGGGTGGGGGGTTATAACTTACAATTATGCGGACATTATGTTTGTGCTCTCTACATTTCTCATGCATGTGGAAGAATGAGTTATTATTTAGCTGTCTGTTGGATTTTGAAATATTAATGTCTTTTTCAGGCTAATGGGCGCTGCTGCGCTTCAGAAGTATATTGGTAGCTTGGGTGGGATGGGAACACCTGGAGTTGGCTCAAGCTCTTCTTATGCCCCAAAAGAGTTGAACAAAGAAATAATGCCGGAGAAGGTAATTTGTCATTATTACCATGTGGCTTTAATTGTTTTTCTTTTTCAACATTTGTTGTCTCCTTTTGAAAAAATGTATCTGACTCCATGAAAATTTGTGAAGCCTAAAACTTAGGCTCCATAATTTCAACAGTGCGTTTTATCTAAAAACACTTGAATTGATATGCACATACTTATCGATTTTGTTCTGACCGTGTTAATATTTAGTCGGTTCTATTTCTTAAAATTGAGAATAAAACAATTCTATTTTAGTTCTTAGTTCTAACTTGAGAGCCGATTTTTCTCTAGTCAGTTAAACCAACCATTAAGATTAATTGAAAATAATCAACTTTTTGGGTTTAGTTTGGCATAGAAACGTTTAATTCAAGAAATTTTAATTAGTACACACTATGCGATTAGCAAAATTATAAACAATATGCAACTTCTATTTTTTCCAATACTATCTTCAACTATACAGTATTACGTCTAATAAGACGAGCTATACAGTGTTCAATACACATGGTAGATTTAAAATTTCCTCTAATGTTGATTAGTTAATTCGATGGATGAAGCACCATTAAATTTTAATTATACTTTCTAATTATTAACATAATATAATGCATAATGTTGAATAACATGTTCCATTGCTAGGGTGATCGAAGAATAATGGATACTACCATTTCTTTCCAACCTTTTCTTGTGCAATACAAATCAAAAGTGCATATTGGGATAAGGTTTTGGAGATGTTCTTGTTTAAACATTGAAAACAAATACTAGATTATACTCACTAGGGAAACATTTATCATAATTTCTTAGGATATACTAAACACTATAAAATCACAATAGATTATATTGACTTGACACTTGATAAATTTTATCGTATAATCTACTGCAAAAAGTTAAGTCAATATTCTATAAGTGCAAGATTTTGGACATAACAAAAGGCCAACTTGAACATCCTTATCAAGGAATTGTGCTTGAAATATATATCCAACAAAGCACATATTATTTTAGGAGAATCCGAATATATATAGAATTCTTCACTTCGAAGAACCATCTTCCTTTTTAAAAATAAAAGTCCCTTTTCCTTTAATGATTTTTACATAAAACTCGACCGCCTTACATAATTCTATGTATACTTGATCAATGTTGCAATTATAGTACGTACTTGTGTTCAAGAATATGACGATATATAAATTCTTGACTTCAAAGTTGTAATGGATTAAATCTCTAATGAGCAATATATATAATAAGAAACAAAAATCAAAAGCAAGTAAAAAAACATGGAATTTAGAGTGATTAAAACAACCTATTAAATGTACGAACTAATCATTATACTCTTATAAATTTAAATCAAAATTCTGTAGCCGAGGATAAAAGCGAGGTTCTACACATCCAACAACTGCAACAATTTAATTTTATGACGATACTCTTCATGTGTTGTAATTAATTAAGAATATCAGGGGAAAAAAAAAGAACTGTGAGTTGGAAGAACATTCTAGTACACAAGTTACGATGGAATAAAGCATCAGAAATGCAAATCCATGGTTGAGGATATAGAATTTTATTAGATGATCTCGACTTTAGAATGAGGGGCTACTTTTTCCAGATGTTGCAAAACGATATTCCTAAACTACATTTTCTTGCACATTTGACTCCCAACTACTATTCTACACGGATTGGATTTAAGTCCTGTTTGAATCTCATTCTTTAAGAATTTATTTTTAACCACGCATTCTACATATAAAATAATTTTATATATAAACTCAAAACTTTTCTCTGCTTTTTAATCATATATTCTTAGGGAAAAAATCACTATTACAAAATCTATTCTCAAAAAATTGAGCTCAAACAAATCCGGTATAATGTTGTTTAAAATATTAAACTGTTAAATACTGACAAATTTGCTATTTAAAGTTTTTCTTCTAACTAATGCCTTCACTTGCATGTTAGACTCTTTTTTAAGCAAACATGGTAATTTCGAGATATAGCCCGTTGGTTTGTGTTTTATAAGTAATGTTAACCTTAATACAAGTTACTTACTTTTGTCAAATATATAATAGTCAAAGTTACTTATTAGCTACTCCTATCCACTTTCTAAATGGTTTACTTGGAGGCTGCTACCTTTTTTCAAAGTAGGTTTATGGACAAGCCCTCATATTGCAAGACATTCTTATTATTTTGAAGGAAGTTTGTAAATTTATTGATAAGTTCCTCAATTCTTGCCTTTGGAATGGTGGAAGAGTTCATGATTGAATAAAATAAAAATAAATTCTTTTATGTGCTATGACATTTCGTTAAACTATCTCATAGAAACTTTAGAAGAGCACACCACTCAGCCGCTAAACTCGTAACCAATTGATTCCATGAGCTGATTCTTTTCAAAGTTGTCAAATGCTTTATTCTTTCTTCTTATGTACAATCTGTGTTTGTTTATGAATCCAATTTGCTGCTTAAGACAAAATCTTTCTCTTCCATTCACCTTCTATCTTTTCCCTAATCTTTTTTCACTTTTACTGTGGGTATAGAATTCAAAACATGTTTTCACCTGAAAAAAGCCAAAACTAATGAATTGTTAAATGTAAGTGCTCTTAATGGGGTTTTTCACTTTTGATTCCATAAATAGTTTGACAGCCACTTCCAGGGTTCTTCCCATGGTTTCTACTTTCACTGAATATTGTACATTCTTGAGTCACTTGTTTCCTGTTACTAGGGTGCAAAATATATATATATATTGGTGCTTAGCAACATAACACACCATTTAGTTGGTGCGTCAGGTCACCGGTGTTTAGGAGATCATTTATATATATATTGGATGACAAAATAGTGGATAACAAAATAATTGTCTAACCACCTGAAAAGTTCAAGTTGAGAGTAAACAAATTCATTTATGTAAAATTTGTCTTCTACACGCCATCTTAGAATAGATTCAATTTACATCAAAAAGTCATAAATAATTTGTGATAAAACTCAAATTAGGACTTTTGCTTATTCTCACATGGAACCCCATCATCAAAAAAGTCAAGTTGTTAGGTGTTTTCTATGTTCACTACATCAGGATTAGTCTAGAAGTACCAAAGAATAACTCAATTTGTATCAAGTGGACAGTGGAAGTCTAGTGACATCTTCCACTTACAAGAGAACCAAAATAGCAAAATCATTCTCAATATGTTATTCCATTTAAATAACTTATTATTATAAAGCTAATATAGTCTTAAGTCTCTAAGAGCATTTGAATTAAACAATTTGAAGAAAATATACATCAGCAGCAGCTCCAACAGTTTTTCATCCACAAATTTTCTTTCATTTATTCTGATATATTCACCGCCACACATTCTTCAGATGATCAGGACAGCACTTTCCATTATTCTTCCCAATTTCTGTTTGTTTATTTTTTTTTAATTTCCTTTCAATTTTTGCACTATATATACCGTGAAATATGCTAAAAATTTCAACAGCAACATTATTAATCTTCAGTTAAGTCATCTCTTCATTCATTCCTTCTGCATCGAAAGACATGGCAGAGCGAATTCGTTTGGCAGTCGGAATTATGGGTAGGTGCACCCTTCTTCCTTTTCATCTCCACTATTGATTTTGTATATTTTTTGATAGCTTCATGTTAAAACAACTTTGCATGGCGTTTCTTGCAGGGAATGCAGCCTCTTTGTTGCTCTATGCTGCCCCAGTGTAACATAATATTCTTCAATATATTTTATTTTGTTTTTGATAATTCCATGCATGCATTGCCTATGTAGCATAATAATGAACATGATTTTAACTCTATTAGGTATTGTATTTTCCAATATTTCTTGCAGACTAACTTTTTCAAGGGTAATAAGAAGGAAAAGCACGGAAGAATTTTCGTGTGTGCCATACATCATTGCACTGTCGAATTGTTTCCTCTACACATGGTACGGCTTACCAATCGTGAGTTATCACTGGGAAAACTTTCCTGTCGTAACCATTAATGGGTTAGGGATTCTTTTTGAGCTTTCCTTCATAGCCATATACTTCTACTTTGCTTCGGCTAATGGAAAGGCAAGCTACTTCTCCATACAACAGATTTTCTTATTTGCATGTATCAACTAAAGCGGTAGAATGAATATAGCACTAATTTTTACATGTAAATTGTAATGAATGTGCAGAAGAAGGTTGCTATGATAACAATACCAGTATTCGTTTTGTTCTGCATCGCTGCAATTTTATCAGCTTTTGCGTTTCATGATCATCACCATCGCAAAGCATTTATAGGAAGTGCCGGGCTCGTTGCATCCATAGCAATGTACGGATCTCCTCTAGTGGTCATGGTAAGTAATTTTCCCGGTAAACATAATTTTTTTAATTGTATATATTGCTATATAACGTGATTATGCCATTTATTACAGAAACAAGTGATACAGACCAAGAGCGTGGAATTTATGCCATTTTACTTGTCATTTTTCTCATTACTTGCTAGTTCACTTTGGATGGCTTATGGACTACTCAGCCACGATCTTGTTCTTACGGTTAGTACAACATAAATTTATTCAAAATAGTTTTATTTTGATTTGAGATCAGACGGTGCGTACTGATTTTGATGTGTTCTTTTGTAGTCACCTAACCTGGTAGGTACCCCTCTAGGCATCCTCCAGCTTTTGTTGTACTGCAAATATAAGAAAACTGGAGTTATAGAAGAAAAACCTCAAAAATGGGAGTTGGAAAGCTGTTCAGACAAATCAAAGCAACAACTTGAAAAATTAGATGATGAGAAACTGAAACAACATTCCCAAAGCACACATGATACTGATACTAAGACGTGAACAATTTCTTTGAACGTCAAGGTTCGATATTTTAATTTCTTTATTTTTCATTTTATTATCGTACGTCCCAATGATATAATTCATTTTGTAGGTGTTTATTTGTGTGCACACGTGTGTACAACTAAATTCGCATGCATGTGTTGTAGAGAACATGAATTTTTGAGTGGATTCTAAACTTCGATTATGTTTTTTGATAGGTCAAATGCTACGTTACGATAACAAATAAATGTCATTGGGCTCTAAGTGGACAGATGTGGAAAGTTAGAGTTGCACGTCGACCATCAACACCAATGGGGAAAATAAAAATGTTAAATCTTAGTCTTTGAAGGGATTTTGTACCTTTTTGAGTATACAAAATATTATGTTAAGTGAGAAATCAAGAAAAGTATCATCTTTTTGCATTAAAAATAATAGTAAAGACACAAATATATCACTGGGGAAGTCTCACAAACAAAGTGCACTTCTTTGAAGATGCGTCGATCTAATTATTATTGATATCATCTCGCTTGATAGATTAAATAGTTACAGATATACATATAACTTAGAGGCTTAAAGCAAAATTATTTAAATAGTCATTTCGAGAGTTGGTAAAACCTATTACCCATCTAAAATTCTCTGTATTTTCCTTTAATATGAAAGAAATTAGTACATCAATGAGTTTTAATATTATGGTATGTTCCATGCAAAACAAATAATAATAAATTTATTTCCTACTTTTAATTATGTCAATATCAAGTCAAAAATCCTAACAATCTTCATGTTGATTTTCCATTGTCCAATCCTTTTAATAGGAAATTTCCCATGGGTTTCGCTTATGGGGGTCAATGGGCCCAAACGCACAAAAATGGGGCTTTACAAGCCGATTGGCCCACAAGCTAATCAAGTTTCTAAAAAAATATTAAATTTACTGATTTTTCTTAGGACAATATGCTAAACATGTTATTTGCACGATAAATCACAAATATAAGGAGATGGAATTACAACAACTGAAAAAATGTAAATAATTATTCTGACAAATTTAGGCTTTTACTTGGCTAGCAGGGCACTCAAGGCCCGACTCGTGGGCTCTCCAAACTAGACAATCCATCTCCGACTTGTCAAGCCTAGGAACATGGGCTCAACTTTGTCCACTTGGCCAAAATTTGAAATAGACTCAAGCCCCGACTCATTTAATTATGAGATGACCCAACCCGAAACTTTTACTAGCCAGCTTGACGAGCTACCTATCCCAATCAACCCTTTTTCGCCACTCGAAACATGGTTGGCCACGATCACTTACTACCCCATGAACCATGTCTACCGTGTGAGAAAAATTTTGGTGGAATTGTCGCACCGCTCTACATGATACGATCGTTAGATAGGGAGTTATCATAATTCCCCACCTCATTGGATGGAGAAAAAATCAAGTTTCAAGGTGCCCTAACCTCATTGATGAGGGTGGACCACCCAATAGGTTGGTGGCTTCCAATTTGACTACGTGATGCGACCGTCCTATCGAAATTTTTTTTCCTTATGTGTTAATCAAAACTTGACCCTCTCATGAAGTTGCAAGTTATTGTCCATGACAACCTAAGAAAGCCAAATCAAACGCCCTTGTTGAGAAAAAGACAAAAGGTATCTAAAACAGTAACGATCGAACGTTAAACAAAGTGAATTAGCCCCCATTTGAGTCCCATTATTTTTCATTACATTAAATTAAATTTTTCTCTCTTCTACTTTTAACCACACAATCTTCAATACAATAATATTAAACATAAATTAAAAACTTTTTAACCACTCATTTTTAAAAAAAAATACTATTCATCTCATTATAATTTACAAATAATGGGGCTGAAACGGCCGCTTAATTAACACCCTAAAGGGTGTTTGGTAGGAATTTTTATGTGAAAATGCATTTTTGAATAGTAAATTGATGGGAAATGTGTGGTTGAAAAATAAGAAATTTTTTTTGATTTACGTGTAATATTATTTTAATAAAAAATATGTGGTTGAAAAGAAGAGAAAGAAAAATACATTTTGATAAAAATGGATGCCAAACGGGCCCTAATTTCTCATTAGAACTACAAAGGCCACAAGTTGTGAGCGCCAATTTCAATTGAGATAAGGTTTTTCTCTGTCTACCCTCTTTCTCAACATCTACAACCCAATCTTGTTGAGAGGAGAAAATACAGTCAATTTTGTTTGTGAGTTGTGAGAGATTTAACTCTAACCCCTATAAGAATGAAGAAAATTCCCCTCTTTTTATAAGCTCTAATTTAATCGTCACTTTTTTTCCGAATTGAGAATTGTATTGTTATGACTGCTACACTTCAAGCTTCTCTTGTTCACAAGCCCTCAATTTCGCGATTCAATTATCTAGCTTTTTGTCTAAAACCCCGGGTTTCTAGTTTTGCTTCTCCGTTAATTCTACATAGACGTATAATTCATAACTTCAATTGCCTTCCTCCCAAGTCTCGATTTTTACGGCATCGTTTAGTAGTTTCTTGTGAATTAAATCCAATTCCGGAAAATGTAAATTCAACGCCGGACTTAATAAACAGTAATTTAAATCCGGATATTGAAAAGCAGGAAGTAAATGAGTTCAACAATGGAAATATTGTGGGGGAAAACGTGGAAATTGAGGCGGGTGAAGGAGTGGAGGGTGAGGTGCCAAAGGAAGGTCTGGAGGAAACCGAGTATGCGAAGAAGAGATTTCCAATGCTGCTGTTTATTATGGGAGTTTTTGAGAGGTTGAGAAGTGGGTTTGAGAGAATTTTGTATTCAGATTGGTTCAGTCGGTGGCCATTTTGGTGGCAGGAGAAGCTGTTGGATCATTTAATTGCTGAGGCCGATGCGAATCCTAAGGATGCTGCAAAGCAGAGCGCCCTTTTGGCGGAGCTCAATAAGCACAGGTCTTTGTAGCTCACTTCACCTTAATAATGGATTCTGTTATTGAGTTTTATGCAAAGATTCTGGCTTCGTTTTTTACTAAAAACATGAGGACAGTGAATAGCAGCATTTTGAATCCGTGTTCTTTTGCTTCTTATTTAAATTATTATCTTGCTGGTTGAGTGCTTTCGGGTTTAGTTAAAAGTGTATCATATGCTGTTGATGGAATTATCATTAACCATCGAATTATAGTGGGTGTTTCATGATATTCAAAATTTAGAAAAAATCTGAAAGTAGATAGACTTTGAGGATTTTTAACTGGGAAAACAGTTTTCATTTTTGTTCTTTTTTTTAAAATTTTTTTTATAATAAAAAAATTTGGCATGCAAGGATGAGCTGAAAGTACTGACTGCACATTGTAGTTATATTCAGAACATAGTAATTTTGGGCAGGATCATAGTAACCGTTGGACATATCTTAATACAATAGTAACGCATGTGATTTCAATCATGCTCGGAAGTAGGTGTTAGGATCGAAGATGTTGGTGGACTGTTTTAATCTCTGTGCACTTGTGTCAGAAGTTGAAGTGTTATTATTACTTAACCATATTGAATCCCTCATAAACTTCATAAAATTTTGCATTTAGCTGGAGACATGTTCTGATGGTGTTCTTTTTTCTTTTTTGCTCTGTCCAGTCCCAAGTCTGTCATACAGCGGTTTGAACAAAGAGCTTATGCTGTAGACAGCAGGGGAGTTGTAGAATATCTTCGAGCTCTGTTGGCCACTAACGCCATTGCTGAATATTTACCTGATGAACAATCAGGAAAACCTTCCAGTCTTCCTTCTCTGGTACTGGGCTGTGCATATTTCTTTTCAGTTTTCAATTTTGCAATGAAAGCGTATGTTATATCTATTAATTATATAGCGTCATTACTACATACACGATAATTTCACAATCCATCAATATAGTTTTTTCTAGAAGGACAATTTTATTGAGTTCAGTTAGAAAATGAAAAAAATTTAGATATCCTTTTTTTTTTCCCCTATCAATTTTCAGTCAATACCTGTCACTTGTTCTTGTTGTCATCCCGATAAATTTCGTTTAACACTTTGTGCAGTCTGCCATGCTTTATCATTTGATGCATGTACACTTTTTAACTTTTCATATTACCTGAATCAAATATTTGATGCGAGTGAAACTGGTTTCTTTGGCTACATCTGCCTCTTTTTCCACTTCCACAACAATGAATAATATCTTGGGCTATCTCATTCTACATATTGAGTGTATTTCACGTTCTTCTATTTGCTAACAATTTTATATTATATGTAGTTGCAAGAATTAAAGCAGCGTGCTTCAGGGAACATGGATGAGCCCTTTGTGAGCCCCGGTATATCTGAGAAGCAGCCGTTACATGTGGTGATGGTAAGGGCTGTAAGTGTCAGCAATTTTTGGTTTCTTCTGGCATATTTATATTCGGTGAACAGAAATTATCTTCTTGTGATTTTTTGCTCCATTGTTGTGTGTGTGGTATAAACATTTGACACTATCATTATCATTGGATTAGCAGAAAGTGACTATTTAATTGTGGTGCTTTTCTTGTTGGAACTTTACTTATTGCATCACCTGTTATCAAACCTTAGCATGTTGTGTTCTGGATTGCAGGTTGACCCCAAAATGTCAAATAGATCATCTCGGCTCGTACAAGAAGTCATCTCGACTATCTTGTTCACTGTTGCTGTTGGCTTCGTGTGGTATAACGTTTCGTACATATTATTTCAGTTCTGGTTGATGCATGCTATATATATTTTACTTTCTATGGAATTATGTTTGATGATGTTGCATAAAGACGTTGAATTTTCCTGGGTGGGGGGTTATAACTTACAATTATGCGGACATTATGTTTGTGCTCTCTACATTTCTCATGCATGTGGAAGAATGAGTTATTATTTAGCTGTCTGTTGGATTTTGAAATATTAATGTCTTTTTCAGGCTAATGGGCGCTGCTGCGCTTCAGAAGTATATTGGTAGCTTGGGTGGGATGGGAACACCTGGAGTTGGCTCAAGCTCTTCTTATGCCCCAAAAGAGTTGAGCAAAGAAATAATGCCGGAGAAGGTAATTTGTCATTATTACCATGTGGCTTTAATTGTTTTAGCCATGTATATTACACAGTTTTATTGATGCACACTAGTTAAAATTCATGTCAAAAAGGATAATGGATTGTTTTTGAGTTTAATTTTTGTTTTAAAAGATTGTATAACTCTTTCTTTTTGTCACAAACATGTTGTTGGGATAGTTCATAGCAAGCTAGATATTATATTTGTTGTCTGAGGTAGATCTCTCGAGTGGTTTGAACTCTATAATGACAATTAGCAAAGTAGTTATTGTACAGTGTTGTGGCAGAATGTTAAAACATTTAAGGACGTCAGAGGCTGTGATGATGCTAAGCAAGAGCTTGTGGAGGTCGTCGAGTATCTGAAAAATCCTTCAAAGTTCACTCGATTAGGGGGGAAATTACCCAAGGTTTGTTTATATGCTGCAATTTTGTCTTGTATGTTTTTTTTATGGCCATTGAATAAATACTTTCCTCCAAATTGTATGCTGTAATCTGTATTAAATTTTCAGGGAATCCTTCTGACTGGATCACCTGGAACAGGAAAAACTTTGCTTGCCAAGGTAAGCTAAGGATATCTATTTTCATGTTTTATGGCTTGCTTCTCCCTACCACTAAATTTGAAGTGCATGGCTCATCATGGCTTCTGCGTTCTACAGCCAGTATTTTTCTGATTATAACATTTCTATAATTTTGAAGGCTATTGCTGGAGAAGCTGGTGTACCTTTCTTTTACAGAGCAGGATCTGAGTTCGAAGAAATGTAAGCATGTTTAGGGAAGCTTTCAGACTATTTTCCAGTTCGGGAAACATTGCATAGGGAATTATCCTTAAGTTCTGTAACCATAAGAAGACTGGATGATTTTATGTGTCCAAATTTATGTGCCCCCTAAAAAACAATCTCTTTTCTGCAGTTCTGAATTTATGATTAAAAGTATTGTATGACCCAAATAATAACAATATAATTTTTCATTAATCCCCCAAAAGTTAAGATCTTGAAACTTAGAAGGGTTAAACTATTGAGACTTGGAGCTGAAATTTACCATTTCTTATTTCTTTTTCTAGGTTTGTAGGGGTTGGCGCTCGCCGCGTAAGGTCCTTGTTTCAAGCTGCTAAAAAGAAGGTCTCTCTGTTTCTACCTTCTGCAGTCCTCATTCATGTTTACCGGGCGCTATCAAATTGTACTTAGAAGAGGAGGGATGATATATTATTGATAGTATTTGTGCTTAGCTTATACACTTCATCGTAATTTTCCACCCACAAACACACCCTGGACAGAATTTCACCATTGATTTATTCACGCACATTTAAAACAAGCAGTGGGTTCAGCTTCATCAATTTCAAGAAATACACTAATACAACAGTTTCTGCCATGTTACTGAAATAGTACATGTCATCTACTAGTGCTTTACTTGGAACGGCCCACAAGAAGTGGATAAGTTCAAGTAACACATTATTGCTTTCGTAATCTAAAATGTTAATATAGTAACCTTCAAATCTAAGTATACGATTTCGATTTGTAATCAAGCTCTCTTCTGTTTCCGCGGCCCTGTATTTATTGGGCTGATGAAAATGGCCTTACGTAGCGGGTGAAGGCACTATTTGACATAGAAAATGAAACAAAAAACATTACACTTTTGATCATCTCCTGTCAATCATTTATACCAAGAAGCAATATACATAACTGATCCCCCCTCCCAAAAGTTAAATCCAGGAAAAATCAAATGATACGTCCAATTTATTTTACATGTTGAAAAGGGATGGTCTGAATATTCCATTATCGGACTCATTCTGTTCTCTGTTATACATCATATAGGCTCCTTGCATCATCTTTATTGATGAAATTGATGCTGTTGGGTCAACCCGAAAGCAGTGGGAAGGTCATACAAAAAAAACACTGCATCAACTACTTGTTGAAATGGATGGTTTTGAACAGAATGAGGTAAACACACACAAAGGTGCACATTTTGTTTAATTTCTGTCTATTTATTAAGTCACCTTCTGAACGTTTTCACAGGGAATTATTTTGATGGCTGCAACAAACTTGCCTGATATACTTGATCCTGCTTTGACAAGACCTGGTAGATTTGACAGACATGTAAGTCTTTTTGAAAATCTTTGAAGACGTGCACATTGTTGATGGTCAGATCCATTTTCTTCATTTATAATTATTTTTGATTTTAGACGTCCCGATTTGGTAGTGATCAGGTATTATATATATTCTGTAGTGAATTATGTTGAAAAAAAAAA